AAGATTGATGATGATCCTGTGCTATGAGAGACTAATGATGATCCAGTGCTATGAGAGACTAATGATGATCTGGTGCTTTGAGACATTGATGATGATCCGGTGCTATGAGAGACTGATGATGATCGGGTGCTATTAGAGACTGATGATGATCCAATGCTGTGAGAGACTGATGATGATTCGGTGCTGTGAGAGACTGATGGTGATCCGGTGTTATGAGAGACTGATAATGATCCAGTGCTATGAGAGACTGATGATGATCCGGTGTTATGAGAGACTGATAATGATCCAGTGCTGTGAGAGACTGATGGTGATCCGGTGTTATGAGAGACTGATGATGATCCGGTGCTGTGAGAGACTGATGGTGATCCGGTGTTATGAGAGACTGATAATGATCCAGTGCTATGAGAGACTGATGATGATCCGGTGTTATGAGAGACTGATAATGATCCAGTGCTGTGAGAGACTGATGGTGATCCGGTGTTATGAGAGACTGATGATGATCCGGTGCTGTGAGAGACTGATGGTGATCCGGTGTTATGAGAGACTGATAATGATCCAGTGCTATGAGAGACTGATGATGATCCGGTGTTATGAGAGACTGATAATGATCCAGTGCTGTGAGAGACTGATGGTGATCCGGTGTTATGAGAGACTGATGATGATCCGGTGCTATGAGAGACTGATGATGATCCGGTGTTATGAGAGACTGATAATGATCCAGTGCTGTGAGAGACTGATGGTGATCCGGTGTTATGAGAGACTGATGATGATCCGGTGCTGTGAGAGACTGATGATGATCCGGTGTTATGAGAGACTGATAATGATCCAGTGCTATGAGAGACTGATGATGATCCGGTGTTATGAGAGACTGATAATGATCCAGTGCTGTGAGAGACTGATGGTGATCCGGTGTTATGAGAGACTGATGATGATCCGGTGCTATGAGAGACTGATGATGATCCAGTGCTGTGAGAGACTGATGATGATGATCCGGTGTTATGAGAGACTGATGATGATCCGGTGCTATGAGAGATTGATGATGATCCAGTGCTATGAGAGACTAATGAAGATCCAGTGCTATGAGAGACTAATGATGATCTGGTGCTGTGAGAGACCTGATGATGATCCGGTGCTGTGAGAGACTGATGATGATCCGGTGCTATAAGAGACTGATGATGATCCGGTGCTGTGAGAGACTGATGATGATCCGGGGCTATGAGAGACTGATGGTGATCCGGTGCTATGGGAGATTGATGATGATCCAGTGCTATGAAAAACTGATGATGATCCAGTGCTGTGAGAGACTAATGATGATTCGGTGCTGTGAGAGACTCTATGAGGGATTGATGATGATCCGGTGTTATGAGAGACTGATAATGATCCAGTGCTATGAGAGACTGATGATGATCCGGTGCTATGAGAGACTGATGATGATCCAGTGCTATGAGAGACTAATGATGATTCGGTGCTGTGAGAGACTGATTATGATCCGGTGCTATGAGTGGCTGATAATGATTTGGTGCTATGAGTGACTGATAACGATCCGTTGCTGTGAGAGACTGATGATGTTTTGGTGCTATGAGAGCTAAGTTTTGACACACAGCGACACTTTTTATTTCCAGGCTGTGGTGAAGGCGTGTGAGGGGCTAACGGAGGCTGGGAAGATCAAAGAGAAGGTTTATGGCAAACAGAAAGTCTACGTAGCTGATCAGGAAACAGAAAGATTGGTGTAATTTTCAGCTTGTATTGAGATGATAATGCAATAGTAACATTCAAAATGAAATTATCTTTTAATGCGTAAGGTTGTTTTAGTCTCTTAGGCAACACATACGTAGTGAATATATATATATATCTCAGGTTGAGGGAGAAATACTGCCTAACTGGCAAGCTAGCTTTTCCAGTGCTGCGTTAACGTTAGAACTACATTATCCGGGACCCGCTCACTAGTTCAGCAACGTCAAGCGTGGTCATTGTCTGGGTGAGTGACCGCCGGCTCGTTATATTTGGTGGCAGTGTACATAGTGACTCAGTGTGATCATGTAAGGCCAGTTCCTGATTGTCAGCTAGGGAAGGTATATCAATACACAGGGAGGACCTACGGCATTCCCCAGGCCAAGTCTCGGGACAAGACTTATCGGAGGGGGAATAGTGTAACAGCTTAGTCTCGGGACAAGACTTATCAGAGCGGGAATGGTGTAACAGCTTAGTCTCGGGACAAGGCTTATCAGAGGGGTAATAGTGTAACAGCTTAGTCTCGGGACAACACTTATCAGAGGGGGAATAGTGTAACAGCCTAGTCTCGTGACAAGACTTATCAGAGGGGGAATGGTTTAACAGCTTAGTCTCGGGACAAGACTTATCGGAGGGGGAATGGTGTAACAGCTTAGTCTCGGGACAAGACTTATCAGAGGGGTAATAGTGTAACAGCTTAGTCTCGGGACAAGACTTATCGGAGGGGGAATGGTGTAACAGCTTAGTCTCGGGACAAGACTTATCAGAGGGGGAATAGTGTAACAGCTTAGTCTCGGGACAAGACTTATCGGAGGGGGAATGGTGCAACAGCTTAGTCTCGGGACAAGACTTATCGTAGGGGGAATAATGTAACAGCTAAGGAATATTAGGAGTAAATACAGCCTTACTGGCAAGTTAGCTTTTCTAGTGATGCGGTGTAACCAGGGGACCCACTCACTAGTTCAGCAACATCAAGTGTGGTCAGTAGTTGGATGGGTGACCGCCCGTACGTTACAATACTTCACCTGGTCACAACGGGCTCACCAGTCCTAACCTCTTTCGATTTAAAGATGTTTGCCGAGCAGTAAGTACAAATATAGAACAAAAGTATTGAATTATGATCCATTGTTTAAAGTCGCAGTTTCCCGATGTTGATGATGTGGAAATCAAGGAGATGGATGCCCAGCTATCCCAGCTGTCTGACTTGACCAAGGTGCGAGGGGATGAAGTCCGCAGACTGGACAGTGGTCAGTATGCCAGTATAACATGTACTACAGACACATGCTTTTACTCTGAAAATATGACCATTTCACATAAGGATTGTATCATCAAATGTCATTGATTTATACAGTGAAACCATTCTACAATAAAGTCATGACATCACTTTTGTAAGAGGAATGAAACCAATAATGGTGGCACTTTGTGCTGCTGACAGTACAATCTCGATTCCTCCTTACAGTATGAGAGTTTGTGAGTAGATATCTAACCATGGGTATGAGATCTTCCTAGTATATATCGTATACTCATTGCTAACGGTATGAATGTTAAGTTGATGGGATGAGTTGTATGTTTGTAATAAAATCACTGACATTTTTTGTCTGTGAACTTATGATTGTCACTTACCTTTTTTTTTTTTTTACATTTATACAGAATTGAAAGGCCTAAATAACTCGATATCAACAAAAGAGGCTAAAACCCAGCTGGTAGAACTGGAAAAACAGGTAATTATTTAACAACAACAAAAAAAATCCTAGAGTCATGACCCTTAAATCTTTCTGCTCCAGACACTTATTAACCGCAACTTCTCCTTAACTGTTTGTGAGATTTTTTTGTAACTAGACACATCGAAAGTACATCATATGTAAATGTACACAAAAACAGGGATTTGTGATTTGACTGTTTTCCCTGGAGTTATGGCCCTTGAAGTTTCAATTTCTGCTCAACAAACATTGTAAGCTCAGGTGGGGGATTATATCTTGGTAATCTCGCTCACAGGTTCACTAGTTGTCTGTTTGATTTTTAGCTCACCTGCCTGAAGATGTTTTATATAATATTTTGCTATGATTGCTTTAATATCCAGGTGACCTCTGGGCCTCTTGTTTTGTAACTTACCATAGTGAAAGTACCTCATACGTAGATGCGCATAAGGAAGTGATTTGTGATTGTGTTAGTGTACCCCTGTAAACAATGTTTGAATGCCGTGATAAGACGAAGCAGCTGGGAGCATATCTTTGTCCCTAGTTTGTGTCTGCGTATATCTGAATGGATATGGAATTTTCACACTATAATCATATGACATGTATTTTACAACGCACCGTAAAACTGTTGACTGGTCACGTGAATCTGTTGACTGGTCACGTGCAACTGTTGACTGGTCACATGTTAGGAAATCGAACGCACCTATAATTACAAGCACCCCGATGATCAAGCGTTTTTGGTACTGGATCGTTGACGGTCGTCTGTCGGTAGACCTAAACATCACATTCGACATAGAACTTTTTGGTTTTTCATTGGTCAAGTAACAAAACAGTTGTTTCATGCCTTATCAGTCAACAGTCAAAACCATTTTCCCTCGGAGTTGGGACCCACCAAATGAACTGTTTCCCTCAAACTATTTTACTCCTCGGGAAAATAGTTTTGACTGTTGACTGATAAGACATGAAACAACTGTATACTGTTTACCTTCTCTACTGTCCGTAATAAATAGACAAAGAGTACTGTTTACCTTCTCTACTGTCCCTAATAAATAGACAAAGAGTACTGTTTACCTTCTCTACTGTCCCTAATAAATAGACAAAAAGTACTGTTTACCTTCTCTACTGTCCCTAATAAGTAGACAAAGAGTACTGTTTACCTTCTCTACTGTCCCTAATAAATAGACAAAGAGTACTGTTTACCTTCTCTACTGTCCCTAATAAATAGACAAAGAGTACTGTTTACCTTCTCTACTGTACCTAATAAATAGACAAAGAGTACTGTTTACCTTCTATACTGTCCGTAATAAATAGACAAAGAGTACTGTTTACCTTCTCTACTGTCCCCAATAAATAGACAAAGAGTACTGTTTACCTTCTCTACTATCCCTAATAAATAGACAAAGAGTACTGTTTACCTTCTCTACTGTCCCTCATAAATAGACAAAGAGTACCCTTTAACTTCTCTACTGTCCCTAATAAATATAACTGTTTACCTTCTCTCCCCCCCCCCACCCTTGCTCTGTGCTCTCTAGCAGTGTGCCTTCAATTTTGCTATGACATATCAATTCCAGGGGTGCAAAGAGCGAAAGTCGTAACCCCCTAAGAATGTCGAGGATGCAGTTCTCATTGATATTATGCCAGCGAAATCGAGTTTCAAGTTTTGCCGTACAATGTTCAATATTAAATTATCGAAATCATAGAAATTAATTATTAATTATTCTAAATAATGCAGTATATGGACATGTTGATGATCTTGTTACAAATTTACAATTCCCGAAAAGTTTTTGTCAAGGAATGGAGAAAAAGGAAGAGAATGGTGAGCTACTTATAATTTAAAATTGAAGTTACGACTATTTTTTTAAATGCGATTGATAATCACTTTATATTCATTTGATAAGTACTTGGTCACAACTTCTTAGGGCATACCAGCCACGTGACCCAATTTCGTCTGATAACACCCGGGACTCTAGCCCTTCACACGTTTTGATAACTTAACACTGTAGGGTGGTGTAGTGGACAGCGTACTTGCCTTTAACCTGCACGCTAACATCCGGGCCAACAAGAGTGATTAATATAAGTTGAAATTACTTGTTTCATAATTATTGTAAAATAAATAAATAAAGTGTATATTTTATTACAACTTTGTATCTGAAACATTTCAATGAATATTTTGAAAAATACCTGATGTGTCTAACTGAAATTTATCAACGTAATTTCTAAATACTTTATTTTTAGGTCACCTGAGCTTTAGCTCAAGTGACCTATTGCTATCCGTTTTCGTCCGTCGTCGTCCGTCGTCCGTCGTACGTCGTCCGTCGTCCGTCGTCCGTCGTCCGTTAACATTTTACATTTCAAACTTAAAGTCAAGTTCTGCTGGGCCGATTGAACTGAAAGTTGATAGGAATGATCGCCTCATGGTCCTGACAAAGTGTTGTTATTTTTCGGGTCGATCAGAAATCCAATATGGCCGCCACGGCCGCCATTTTGAAAACCTATTTCAAACTTAAAGTCAAGTTCTGCTGGACCGATTGAACTGAAAGTTGGTAGGAATGATCGCCTCATGGTCCTGACAAAGTGTTGTTATTTTTCGGGTCGATCAGAAATCCAATATGGCCGCCACGGCCACCATTTTGAAAACCTATTTCAAACTTAAAGTCAAGTTCTGCTGGACCGATTGAACTGAAAGTTGGTAGGAATGATCGCCTCATGGTCCTGACAAAGTGTTGTTATTTTTTGGGTCGATCAGAAATCCAATATGGCCACCACGGCCGCCATTTTGAAAACCTATTTCAAACTTAAAGTCAAGTTCTGCTGGACCGATTGAACTTAAAGTTTGTAGGAATGATCGACTCATGGTCCTGACAAAGTGTTGTTATTTTTCAGGTCAATCATAAATCCAATATGGCCGCCACGGCCACCATTTTGAAAACATATTTCAAACTTAAAGTCAAGTTCTGCTAGGCCGATTGAACTGAAACTTTGTAGGAATGATTGACTCATGGTCCTGACAAAGTGTTGTTATTTTTCAGGTCGATCAGAAATCCAATATGGCCACCACAGCTGCCATTTTGGTAAACTATTTCAAACTTAAAGTAAAGATCTACTTGGCCGATTGAACTGAAACTTTGTAGGAATGATCGAATCATGGTCCTGACAAAGTGTTGTTATTTTTCGGGTCAATCAGAAATACAATTTGGCTGCCATGGCCGCTATTTTGCTACTAAGTTCTAATAGGCCGATCTCACTTAAAATTGGTCTAGGAATGATCAGCTCATGGTCCTGACAAAGTTAAGTTAACATTATACTATTTTTTACTCAAATTGGTACATATTTCAACAACAAAAATAAATACTATAGACTCAGGTGACCGTTAAGGCCCATGGGCCTCTTGTTCTAAATCCCATATCATGTTGAAGTGATATAACACAATACACAGAGAAATGGACACACAACGTAAGGTGGTTTTGGCCATATCAGAGGACAGGCTATTATAATATTGGTGAATACAGAGATTAGGGGTATATAGGAATCACCCTGTCCATTGGTCTGTCTTTCAATGATCCTTATAAGCCGACTCCTCCGAAAGGATTTCCTGGATTATTTTTCATAACTTGACAGAGCAAAAGTACACCATATGTAGATATGCATGAAACAAATGACTGTCCGATTTAACTATTTTTCCTGGAGTTATGGCCCTTGAAACTTTAAATTTCGACAAGCTGGTAGTATATATAGTTCACAGATTTTCTAGTGTTAATTTCATTAAACTTCCTATACATACATGTATGCATACAAAACACTAAATTTACAACACTTACTTGACAGGCAAATGATATTATTGGTGCTATCCTGGAGGGCTATCCAAAAACAAGGAAAGAGCTTTATGTAAGTATATCATTGGTGCTATCCTGGAGGGCTACCCAAAAACAAAAAAAAAACAGCTGTATGTAAGTATATTATTGGTGCTATCCTGGACGGCTATCCAAAAAACAAGGAAATAGCTTTAGGTAAGTATATTATTGGTGCTATCCTGGAGGGCTATCATAAAACAAGGAAACAGCTTTATGTAAGTATATTATTGGTGCTATCCTGGACGGCTATCCAAAAAACAAGGAAATAGCTTTAGGTAAGTATATTATTGGTGCTATCCTGGAGGGCTACCCAAAAACAAAAAAAAAACAGCTGTATGTAAGTATATTATTGGTGCTATCCTGGACGGCTATCCAAAAAACAAGGAAACAGCTGTATGTAAGTATATCATTGGTGCTATCCTGGAGGGCTATCCCAAAACAAAGAAACAGCTTTATGTAAGTATATCATTGGTGCTATCCTGGAGGGCTATCATAAAACAAGGAAACAGCTTTATGTAAGTACATCATTGGTGCTATCCTGGAGGGCTATCCAAAAAACAAGGAAACAGCTTTAGGTAAGTATATTATTGGTGCTATCCTGGACGGCTATCCAAAAAACAAGGAAACAGCTTTAGGTAAGTATATTATTGGTGTTATCCTGGAGGGCTATCCAAAAAAAAGAAACAGCTATATGTAAGTATATCATTGGTGCTATCCTGGAGGGCTATCCAAAAAACAAGGAAACAGCTTTATGTAACTATATTATTGGTGCTATCCTGGAGGGCTATCCGAAAACAAGGAAACAGCTATATGTAAGTATATTATTGGTGCTATCCTGGACGGCTATCCAAAAAACAAGGAAACAGCTTTATGTAACTATATTATTGGTGCTATCCTGGAGGGCTATCCAAAAACAAGGAAACAGCTATATGTAAGTATATCATTGGTGCTATCCTGGACGGCTATCCAAAAAACAAGGAAACAGCTTTATGTAAGTATATTATTGGTGCTATCCTGGAGGGCTATACAAAAACAAGGAAACAGCTATATGTAAGTATATTATTGGTGCTATCCTGGAGGGCTATCCAAAAAACAAGGAAACAGCTTTATGTAAGTATATTATCGGTGCTATCCTGGAGGGCTATCCAAAAACAAGGAAGCAGCTTTATGTAAGTATATTATTGGTGCTATCCTGGAGGGCTATCTAAAAACAAAGAAACAACAGCTGTATGTAAGTATATTATTGGTGCTATCCTGGAGGGCTATCCAAAAAACAAGGAAACAGCTTTATGTAAGTATATTATTGGTGCTATCCTGGAGGGCTATCCAAAAACAAAGAAACAGCTTTATGTAAGTATATTCTTGAGAAAAAGTTTGTTTCAGTGTAAAAGTCTGCAGGAGGTCACATGTACTCTGTTTGTACTTCGATACTTACAAGCTAGGGAGATATACCCGGGTATGTGTTTGTATAGGCAAAATTGGGGGATAATACTTGTATCCTATTTGTATCACGATACTATGGAGGGAGATATGTGTGTCAGTGTATAGGGGGAAATTAGGGGATAATACATTTATCCTGTTTGTATCACGATACTTTGGAGGGAGATATGTGTGTCAATGTATAGGGGGAAATTTGGGGATAATACATTTATCCTGTTTGTATCACGATTCATGGAGGGAGATATGTGTGTCAGTGTATGGGGGAAATTAGGGGATAATACATTTATCCTGTTTGTATCACGATACTATGGAGGGAGATATGTGTGTCAGTGTATAGGGGAAAATTAGGGGATAATACATTTATCCTGTTTGTATCACGATACTATGGAGGGAGATATGTGTGTCAGTGTATAGGGGGAAATTGGGGGATAATACATTTATCCTGTTGGTATCATGATACTTTGGAGGGAGATATGTGTGCCAGTGTATAGGGGGAAATTGGGGGATAAAACATTTATCCTGTTTGTATCATGAAACTTTGGAGGGAGATATGTCTGTCAGTGTATAGGGGGAAATTTGGGGATAATACATTTAGCCTGTTTGTATCATGAGGTTAATATAGGGTGTAAAACTTTAGTGAATTAACAAATAATATTGTTATATCCGTAGTACATATATGAATATCAACATTTGTTAATAATTTCCATTGCAAAACTGATTTGTTTCAATTTTCCAGGGGCTGGTCGTCATTTCAGTAGTAGGGATTAGGGATATTGATGACTTCTTGTGTCTTGTGGTACCAGGCTATAAACGGCTTACAGCTTCCTGTTCCAGCATAAATAGGGAAATATTGCAATATTTTCATCAGAATTGGGACAATATCCTTTTTTTTTTTTTTTCATTTTCGGAAAATAAAGCCTTTTGTTTGCTAGAGGAAGTAACCTGTATTCGTTTGTAAAACTAGACGAAACAGAATCATAAGTTTTTAACCCTTTCATCCCTATGTAACTTTAGTAGACTCTACGTATAGTATGCATTGACCTGGTGAAGTCCATTATGGTCTACAGTGGTGAAAGGGTTTAAGTGCAATATATATGTAGATGAACTATTGTCTAGTCCACTTATCCTGTGGATTAGCCTTTTGGTGATCGCATGACAAAGTTTCAACAAAGTAATTAAAACCATCCCTCCTCTTGGTATTCTCACCAGGTTGTGTCAGAAACTCACCTTTATCTATTTTGACCTTCTTCCTTTTTGATTCAGACAACATTAATGACTTTACACTGATATTTTTTATCCATTTCCAGGACGATGTTGGTATTGAGACTGATGAAGATTACAAAGTGTCCCCTCCAGAGATTTGAGCACTGATTGTTAGACTCAAAATTATACCGTTTGTTTGCCCTATACTGATCAGAAATCAACATAATACCGTTTGTTTGCCTTGATCAGAAATCAACATAATACCGCTTGTTTGCCCTATACTGATCAGAATTCAACATAATACCGTTCCGTTTGCCCTATACTGATCAGAATTCAACCTCAACTATGTTTGTAGGCAGGTAGATTATAATTTGACAGTCGTATCCACTAATTTCAGTTCTTCGTACCCAGTATTAAAATTCACTTGGTTAAAACATTATAAAGACGATGGAAACATTATTCAAGAAATTTGAGGGGAAAATGCAATATTCTCAAAATATAAAAAAAAACATGTAAGTATTGAAGGAATGGTTTATGAAAAAATTCTGTTTATAATAAACAATATTTTTGGTCTAAATGACAGATTGAATTGAAATAACTAAATGATTTGGAAACAACATTACAGAAATCTGTCTTCTGTACTATTTGAGGAATATAACTAGGTAGGGAGGTCAAGGAGAAAAATAATTATATCTTGTTTTTGAGTAAAATATGTTTTAACAAATCCAAATCTACCAAGAGCCAGTATATTTGTAAATAAATTTACTCTTTTTGATGTTTTTTGCGTTTATGCACAAGAGTCTTCAATCTTTGAAATAATCTGTGTAATTTTTAGCTCACCTGGCACGAAGTGCCAAGTGAGCTTATGCCATGGTGCGGCGTCCGTCGTCCTTCCGTCGTCCGTCCGTCGTCCGGCGTCAATATTTTACTTTAAACGACTTCTTCTTAATAACCGAAAGGTCTAGGGTGATGATATTTGGCCAGAAGCAAACTGGGATGAAGGGCTACCAAGTTTGTTCAAATAAATGACCTTCATTTATTTTCAAGGTCACAGGGGTCAAATATGTTAAAAACTTTAAACAACTTCTTCTCAATAACCAAAATGCCCAGGGTAATGATATTTGGCCAGTAGCATGCTGAGATAAAGGGCTACAAAGTTTGTTCAAATAAATGACCTTCACCCATATTCAAGGTCACAGGGGTCAAATATGTTAAAAACTTTAAACAACTTCTTCTGAATAACCAAAATGCCCTGGGTGATGATATTTAGTCAGTAGCATACTAGGATCAAGGGCTACCAAGTTTGTTTAAATGTATGACCTTGAATCATATTCAAGGTCACAAGGAGCAAATATGTTTAAAATATTTCAACAACTTGTTCTGAATAACCAAAAGGCTCAGGATGTTGATATTTAGTTAGTAGCATATGCTGGGATCAAGGACTACTATGTTTGTTAAAGTGAATGACTTTGACTTATATTCAAGGTCACAGGGGTCAAATTTGTTTAAAATCTTTAAACAACCTCTTATGAATAACCATGGGTCCCAGGATGTTTATACTTTGCAAGTTGCATCCTGAGATGAAAGGCTATACAATGTGTTCAACATAATGACTTTGTTCGACTTTCAATCACAAGGGTGAAATGTTTTAAAAAAAAATAACAGGGTCTTTTGAACGAATTTTAATCATAAATACTGATATTTTGCCTGTAGCTTTATTTTAGATCACTTTTAAGGTTACAAGTGTGAGTTTTATACCAGGTGAGCGATGCAGGCCCATTGGGCCTCTTGTTATTAGACCGTGTGAACCGAATAACTTGAGTAAATGTTGAACGAGTTTGATGAAACTTTGTATGCAGCCATGTTTCAATAAGATCCTGAACGAGTTCGAAAATGGAAATTATTCGACAGTAGCTTACAGAGTTATTGCCCTTTGTTATATTATTAGCTCACCTGTCCGTCGTCCGTCCGTCCGTCCGTCCTCATCCGTCAACTTTTCCTTTAAACAACTTCTTCTGAAGAATGTACAGGCCTAGAGTCATGATATTTGGCTGAAAGCTTTTTTGGTAGGAGCCCTACAAAGTTTGAGAACAAAAATGACCTTGACCTACTTTCAAGGTCACGGGGGTCAAATATGTCAAAACTTCAAACGACTTCTTCTGAAGAACTAAAAGGTATAGAATCTTCATATTTGGCTGATGGCTTCCTGGAATGGAGCTTAACAAAGTTTGAGAATGAAAATGACCTTGACCTACTTTCAAGGTCACATGGGTTAAATGTGTCAAACACTTCAAACGATTTCTTCTGAAGAACTGAAAGGTATAGAATCTTTATATTTGGCTGGTGGCTTTCTTGGATAGAGCCCAACAAAGTTTGAAGATGAAAATGACCTTGACCTTCTTTCAAGGTCTTAGGGGTCATATATGTCAAATGCTTCAAATGACTTCTCCTGAAGAACTGAAAGGTATCAAATCTTTATATTTGATTGATGGCTTCCTGTGATAGAGCCCGACAAAGTTTGAAGATGAAAATGACCTTGACCTTTTTTCAAGGTCATAGGGGTCAAATGTGTCAGACACTTTAAACGACTTCTGATGATGAACTGAAAGGTATAGAATCTTAATATTTGGCAGGTAGCTTCCTGGGAAAGAGCCAAAGAAAGTTTGCGAATGAAAATGACCTTGACTTACTTTCAAGGTCACAGCGTTCAAATATGTCAAATAGTGCAAACTACTTTTTAAAGTTGTTTTAAAAGCTTTTTAAAATTAAAAGGCATAAAATTATAATATTTGGCTGGTGACTTCCTGGGATAGAGCTCAGCAAAGTTTGCGAATGAAAATGACCTCAACCTACTTTAGAGGTCACAGAGGTCAACAACATTTTAAAGGAGTTGTATTTAAGAACTAAAATGAATGGATTCATAAGATTTGGCTGGTAGCTTTAAGGAATAGAGCTAACCAGTTTGAGAAGGAAAATGACATTGACCTACTTACAAGGTCACAGGGAAAAATATGTCAAGCAACTTCTGAAGAAGAATCAAAAGCATAGAATCTTATAATAATATTTTGCTGGTGATTTTAACAGATGGAGCCAACAAAGTTTGCGAGGAAAATATTTTTAGTGCAATATAATATTTAATGAGAATATTTTGCTATGACTGCTTAAATATTCAGGTGAGCGATACAGGCTCTCTTGGGCCTCTTGTTTGCTTAAAAGTTCTGATTAATGTTTCATTTGTTTATGAGTCACAGAATGGATTTTTTTATGTATTTACTGATGACGTCAGTGTACATGTATTTCATGAATATGAACTGTAAAATTTCATACATTGTGTATTATTTGTCACATGTTTACTGAATTATTACATTTTTTATGGACATTATTTGCATCAAGTAAGAATATATGTGCAAACACATTGATCCGTTGACTATTCTGGAGGTACCACTGCCAGAAATGAAGTGTTGGGAACAGTTTTTTGGCATGTCTATAGCTTTGATAAATCATTTTTGAAAAAAAAACTACCTTGTGGGACTTTTATGAAAATAATTAGGAAAAGGTTCGGCAGGGCTTAACAGCAATTCGAACCCCAGACTTCCAATTGTTACACTTTTGCTCCAATCAATCAATGCAAGTGTACAGGCCCAACTGTTCTACAGTTATATTCAAATGGAATTTAATGGGAGGTTACTGTGTATATGACAAAACAAAAAAAAATCTGTGGAACTTGCTGCAGCTTATAGTCTAAGGGAGACAATCTACATGAGGAATGCCTTTGCTTAGCCTTGTACTACATGTATGATTGTATTCTTCAACTTTTGGTGATACATGATAAATTATATATATTTATATGACCTTTTAAATGCTCTATACAGGTCAAGTGCTACCTCAGTGAAATGTAGCTTTTTAGATTAAATCACTCTTCAGTAACAATAATCAAAAGTAGAACTTTTAAACTACTTACACAAGGTAATATGTTTGTTTGTTAACTCTGATCAGCAACGGCTGGTTTTGTCTTAAGTCATTCATGGCTGTATATAATGTGTTGAACATTAACATTACAATAGTCAAGGACCTGCTTTCCACTGCTAAAAATTGGATGTCTGTATTCATTTGATGTTTACAGGGAAATTTTCACTGCAGTTAAATTTCACATTTTTTCACCCTCCGCAGTGAGGCCGATTTTTTATTTTTTTTTGTAATTTTTTATTTTTCTCCAAATTTATAACAATGCAAATATATCATACATAAACATTATTCCTCTCGTACATTACAATTCATTCATTAAATATTCATTTATAATAAAACTGCATATTTCCAGGTATAATTAATAATTAATTATGTTTATGTATAATTAAATTCCATCTAAATTGTGTCCGTTATATAAAAGCATTGTTTAGAAGTGATAGAAAAGAGGTTAGAGCAGGTCCTAGAGGTATATAAGGGAAAGTAAGACTAAGAGAGAAAAAAAAAAAGAAGAAAGAAAAGAAAAAAATAAACGAGGGGGGGGG